TTTTTTTTTTTTTTTTTTTTTTTTGCCCAAAAGCAGTCAGTGGGAAGCCACGGAAGTGCCTGAGGCAGGTGGTCACATTTCCATGATGAGCCCTTGAGCGTCAGGGCCATCACTTTATGTTTATCACACTGCCTATAGCACATCATCCCTAGTTCCTTAATCACTTTATTATGCAGGCTTAAAGACATGGCAGCGGGAATTGTGGTAATGACAAACATTAAAAAGCAGCAGTGGACCCAGATAACCACGCAGTCAAACACCGTCCCTTCTCTTAAGTTCACACTGGGCCACTTTTCAATTTTTTTTGTAAAATATAGGTAATATAAAATTTACCATTTTAACCCTTTTGAATGAACAGTTCAGTGGCATTAAGTATATTTACATTGTTGTGTAACATTGCCACTATCCTTTTCCATACTGAAATTCTATACCCATCAAACAGTAACTCCCCATTTTCCCCTCCATCCAGCCCTGGTAACCACTATTTAGCTACCTCATGTAAGTGGAATCATATAATATTTGTCCCTCTGTGTCTGGGTTATTTCATGTAGCATAATGTTTTCAAGGTTCACCTGTGTTGTAGCATGTATCAGAATTTCCTTCCTTTTTAAGGCTGAATAATATTCCATTTTGTATATACTACATTTTGTTTATCCATTCATCCATCAATGCGTATTTGGTTTTCCACCTTTTGGCCATTGTGAATAATGCTGCTTTACAAAACATGGGTGTGCAAATATCTGTTCAAGTCCCAGCTTTTCAATTCTTTTGGGCATACAGTTGGCCCTTAGTATCTGCAGGTTCCACGTCTATGGATTCAACCAACCTTGGATTGACATTGTAGTAGGTACTACAAATAATCTAGAGGTGATTCAAAGTGTACAGAGGATATGGGAAGATTATATGCAACTACTACACCAGTTTGTGTAAGGGAATTGAGCATCCGGGGACTTTGGTATCTAGCAGGGATCCTGGAATCAATCCCTCACAGATACTGAGGGACAACTGTATACCTAGGAGT